TGGAAAATAGTTTTTCCCCTAGCATAAGCTATTACGCAGTACGAGAGATACTCTCGTAAGAGAACAATATTTTTATGCATTATTATTTCTTAATTTTTGTGTAGTAAATGGTGTCTAAGGGATGCAGAGGCGCGCGCGCTGTTACAATCACGTCATTTTTGCTGCGCGCACCTTTGTGCTCATGCGGACGCGTCGAGTATATAAACAATGCTTTACGCTTTAACCAGCTCAGCCACAGCCCTACAGCATAACAGCTCATATTAGCCAGCTAAACTTTTACTACCCTGTTAGAAAAAAATATGTAGTTGGATAGTTTCATGTGGTTCTTCTCCCTCGCTGTATTATGGGTTTGCTATGTGGGGAGAATGTGCTGGTTACGTTCGTGAGACAATCAGCTGATTACTATTATTATATTATATATTAAGACCCTTGATCCTCACCTGACTATGGCTTTGTAAACTTTATCCATGATGTGGTTTATAATGGACTGTGGTACAGAAACTTGGCTTACTCTGGCTGTTCTCTGCTGTCTCAGTCGACGATATGTTTGTCCCGTTTTAGCAACCGTAGTTTCTTCGAAAGGGAGGGGTGAGCAGTGGGCTGAGCCATTAGTGCAACTCGCAACCGAACCGCTAGATGCCGCTAAAATCTACACACTGCACCTTTAATAGAACACATGCGTTCTCACAACTTTTCAAAGTCTTGTCAGTATTGGTCGTTTTCAGTAGTGTATTCTTCATTGTTTATTTTAACATTGCCAAGTTCAGCATCTTCAATAAAATGTGATAGGCCTACGTATATACTACAAATTATTAATCATAGAAAAAGTACAAAAAACATGTTGGTGCTTTTGATATTTCACTGGTTTGTACTTTACATCAATGGCAAACAAATATTGCTGAATGAACGTAAACAGGATCTTAACAATGACAAACACCTAAAATAAAAATCTGATAGTCACCAGCCTGTGATTTCTTTTAAAAAAAAACACATCACACATGTAAAATGAAAGTTTGTTCAACAACTTGTTTTCAGAACACAAGTGTTATTCTTAAGAATCTTTGGTTATTTGCACTTTCTCAAATTTAATGATTCTCCCTCCCCTCGTGATGATCTCTTTATATTCTAGAGCTCCTTTCTCCTCAATGTAGCGTTCCTGAGTCACTTTTCCACTTTATGACAAAAGATGTGCACATGCCATCGTTAAAATGCCTAAAGCCAATCTCAGCACAGGTCTCACTACAGCCTTAAAAAAAGGGAGTGGGCATCTGATCCAGTTTGAGCTTTTTCGACTTAATTTAGTCAAACTGATCAAATTTTCCGTTTTTGCAATTTGCACGTTGCAGTGCTGCAAAAATAAATACTTGCACAGAAATATATGTCAAAATACCTTCAGCACCTCGGGGGATAAATTTCAGCAAATCTGAATAGAAACAATATTGTGTAAAATACCACTCATATACGTAGGCTGATAATGATGTCTAACCGGATAATTTGCGTTTGAAGTTGATGAGTCATGTATCATAATGTATAATTGTGCAAAAGGCCATGGTCATGTTGAATTTAACTCGTAGTTGTAGTTGTATAGTGTTCTGTTTAAGTGTTGTGTCTGCTGAGTAGGCGGAGTTTATTTAGAAGTCTCGCGAGTTCGGTGAAGTGAGGCGAGATTAGATATGAGGCAATAGAAAAAGAAAGAAGAAATGTAGTATGTTATATCGTGAGTCAACGATGTGAGGTGGATTAAGATTATAAAGCTATCAATCGACAATATAGCACTTAGGTGGTGACCAGTTTGCATCTCAGATGTGATGGGCGGTCGAAGTTGTGTGATCATTTACAGAGGTCGTTGGTATGATCTGTCGAATAGCATCGTGTGCGTCATTGCAGATTAACCACACATTTACACACCGACATACAAGTTATCCACGATTATCCAGCTGAACCCTGTCACACAAACCTATCACACCCTGAGCCTTGCAGCGGGCGAAGCTACGGGTCTCACGGTTGGAAGTCCATCACGTTAACCCTATCCTTGCTGATATGTAACTGCCTGTTCGACTTTCACTGGGATTGCACCGCATCGGATGATCGACGTCTGAGGACATCTGTACCCTTCTGCCATCGAGTGAACTTCCTCTGAAATACTTGGGACTTCTTAAGACTGAGTCCCTTTATCAATATAATTTCAGTGCTTTCATATTATTTTGAATCAAGACACATTGGTTTTATTGTTTGGTTATTTTACATAGGCCTACGCTGTTTTATTGTGATATATTAACATTTTGTTGATATTGTGAGAAAATAATTGATTCTTTCAAGTGACCAATTAATACATTGAGTGAATTTGAACCATGACTCTGGCTTCTTTAATCCTCTCTTAGTTACTGGACATTATTTGTGAAAATAGTCCTCTAAGGTGATTTAGAACCGTAACAGTAATCAGTGCATATTACAGTCTTCAGAACAATAATAATCCAACACACAGCTCAAGCCCATGCAAAGATGCAAGAAATTCACACACAAATAAAAAATTATTTTAGCTCACAATAATCCTCTAATACACCGTTAGGGTAACAGTTTAGGACCCAAGGACCAGATGTTTGAAATAAGACCCGGAGTCAGAATTATAATAAATTAAAGAAAAGTTTTACTGAAGAATAGTTTGCAGTTTCATCAGCAGAAGTCAGCTTCAAGACTCACAGGAGTCTGTCGGCCGCCCCGCTTACAGTGACAAAGATCACAGCAGTTATACCATTTCCCAGGTCTAAGCTATACGTCATTGCTTACAGATTAAAGATTCGCATTGGCTAAGAAATAGATAAACATAGCAATTTTCCACAAACATACAGATAGACGGATACATTATGCAGCTGACACTCGGACCCTGAAGTTAGGCACGTCATGACCTTCCAGGTCGCAGATTTGGGTTTCTGGGCGCCAGCATGTCCAGAACAACAACTCAGCCAATAATGACAGTGTAAGCGGGGTGTCAATGTGAAAGCGAAGTCAATGTGTGTGTGTGTTAGTCTTCTTGGTTACAGGTTAAGGAACCTTAACCTGTAACCAAGAAGACTAACACACACACACACACCGACACACAGCTTTACTTTATGGTTGGATTTGGCCAGGCTCTAACTATAAACAGGAGACTCGTCTCAAAACATCAAGAGAACAAGTTCTTTCTCTCAAGGATGAAACTTTAGTCTAAATGGAAAGTAAGGCTTTAACTGAGAATGGTCCCTTAAACTATAGACTTCAATGACCCCTATTTATTTTAACACATTGAAGACCTTTCTCGAAGACAAAACAAGTACCTTTTCATTTCTGGAAGCCGGGTTAAATAAGCAAGCACTGTTACTGCATTCATATATCAAATACTGACATTAAAGAATACATGAAAAGAACATTTCCTCTTTTTTTTTGGCCCAATACCCCCACCCCCCATATAAGACACGACAAAAAAAACCCCATAAAAAACCCAACTTGAGCAAATTCTTTTTTTTTATTTTTTTATCTGAGATTTACGTTAGTTGATCACGGTTAAGGTGTTTGAGGGGAAATGGGTTTTGAAAACATGTTATGCATGAGTGTGGATAGAAAGAACATTTCAGTAATCACACTGGTAACTTCTATAACAAAGTAAAATCTCCAGAGAAGTCATTCAACTCATTTGATATTTAGAAGGAAAAATATTGATTAATACCTTGATTATATCATTACATACACATTGAAGCAGCAGTGAATCCAATCCACCCCCTTCGGCTCTTTGGCTCACCCCCTTATAAATATATATATATATATATTCTAAACTCCAGCACATCCCAAAACTTTTCCTGTGTTTTTGAGTTCAGATCTCTTTGGTGTCCAATTTGATTGAAAAATATCCTTTATTCTGCTTCCTAAAAATCACTTTCACAACTTGAGCCCAATGAATCTTGACATCCTGGAATAGGCCTGTCATAGGAAATGTCTTACGACATGGTTGTTTAGGAAATAAAAAGCTTCAGTTTGGGTTAAAATAATTGTTGCCAAACATGCCAGAATATCACTGCAATAATCTAATTATTGACTCTTGCTTATATTGAGTGAGATTATATCATGGTACCCATTAGTCATTCATTGTACACAGTACTACACAAAGTCTGTACAGTGTAAATAAGTTAAGAGACGGTCATACAAAACGAACAAGGTGCATTCTGGCTAAATAAAATGGGATGGCTCTTAATAGAGATTAGTATGCATGCATGAGCAAAGATGGAATCATTAAAATTTGCAATATCACACTGTAAATGAACCAAATATTGTTTATTTACATGCACATCACAACAGTCATTTATCACTTTAAGTTTAGTTGCTTTAAGCATGAAAATATATGATTTATGCAAATGTATTAATACACAATTTATATTTTAAAATATAGGATCAATATATATTTATTTATTTTAAGTTTGGTAAATTACATTTACATTTAAGGCATTTAGCAGACAGTGATTTAAAGTGATTTAACATCAAGTTAAATGTATTTAACATGATGTAATCAAACCTCTTGATTGATTGATTGATTGATTGATTGATTGATTGATTGATTGATTGATTGATTGATTGATTGATTGATTGATTGATTGATTAACATAAACAAACATACAAATATGTGTCTGGTTTCCTTGTGTTTTTCACAAAATTACTGAAGATTGCTATATTCCAGCTGACAATATACACATGTGTAGAGTTTTAATACATTTACTTGCAACTTAATCTTCTACTGAATTTGAACAAAGTAGGCTAGGTGAAAATCAGCTATTTTATACTAGAGAGAAGTAGGTGTCTAAATTTGCATTTAGAACTTAATATCTTTCTATTTCCAATGTTCCAGCTTGTTCTTTCCAACTTTTATTGTGCTGAATAAAAGATGATTTCCTCGCGGGCTACAGTTCTGCCATCCCTTCGAATTTCCATAGAATGTGTTTGAACACCATCCTGTATTTTGGTGTGAGTAAACACACCATTTCTTGGCAAGGGCATGGACCTTGTGTCGTTGTTTTGTGCTGGAAACGATGCCTAAGTGAAGAATGAAAAAAAATATTCCTTTTAGGGGTTTTCTTTCAAACATCTGGTCCTTGGGTCCTAAACTGTTACCCCATAACACTATAGCAAATTATGCATAATCGGATTCAGCCTTAATAGTGCATTACTGCACCTAACTTCCTCTTTCCATATGACTGGATAAAGTTTGTATGTCCCACACTTCACCCAGTGTACAAAAAAACGACTTCAAGCTTTATCTTGGATTGCAATAACAGTGCAATCCAAAACACTTACACAGTGTTCATAAAGAAATGTTTTGAAATGTGTCATTACCTGAGCAGGTATCACTTGTCTTTGTCGATAAGAATAACAATCATGTCTATAAGTGTAGAAAATGGGTGATTTATCATAAACATTGATAAATGTTCAAATATATTAAAAAAATTAAAAATGCAGGTGTGAATAATGCAAAATTCCTTTACGTATTTGACTTCATTGACTCTTATACGTACCCACATGTCCAGCATGGAGGGTTTTGATGATGGTTCATTTTTCAGAGATGTCTGAAATTATGCTGTAAGCAGAGATAACCGTTAATATAAGCTTTTTGAAATTGAAATCTAAAATAATTCTAAAATCATTATTAAATTCAATTCTGATATATATATATCTATGGGGTGGTGATGGCGCAGTGGATAAGACACATGCCTTTGGTGTGAGAGACCCAGGTTTGAATCCACTGTGAGACACCAATGTGTTCCTGAGCAAGACACTTAACCCCTAGTTGCTCCAGAGGCGTGCTACCTCTGAAATATAGCAATTGTAAGTCGCTTTGGATAAAAGCGTCAGCTAAATGAATAAATGTAAATGTAAAATGTAAATATATAGATATATATATAGATATATATATAGATATAGATATACATTAAGTTTTATTTTCTTTGTAGTATTATTATTACCTACTATCTGACTTATTCATTTGAGCTATTCTCCAAAAATATTACATTAACAAAAATGAAATCTACTCTTATTTATACTTATTTGTGACTTATTTATACTGCAGACTTAGGGATATATATAGGGATATATATAGGCAAAATAATTCAGTAAGTAATAATCAGTAATAGTTTAATCAGAGCATACAGTATATTCATCTATCAGTAATAATTTAATCAGATAATCATAATTTTAAAGGTGCTCTAAGCGATGTCACGCGTTTTTTAGGGCAAACATTTTTTTGTCACATACAGCAAACATCTCCTCACTAACCGCTGGCTGCCTGTCCCCTGAACACACTGTAAAGAAACGCGATCTCTGTAGACAGCCCAGGCTCCACAAACAGCAACAAAAACAAACTGCAGCGACCCGCTCCCCAAAACATAACAAACTGTTGATTGATTTTGACCGACAAGAAGGGTTTGGGGGTGTGGTTTGGGGGGTTAGTGTGCGGATGAGGAGGAGGGAGGGTCTAGCTAGCCTCCGTTTTGTTTGACAATAGTTCGAACGTCAACAAGAAGTGACGTCACCTAGGATCGCTTAGAGAACCTTTAAGATTCTTGTTTGAATTTATTAATGATTCCTATAAGTAAAAAATATATATAAACTATACCAATTTATAAAATATATTTTAATGAAGCCCATTTGTTTGTATTATTTAGCCATATTAAGAACTTTACATCTATTTATAACAAGACTAATAATAATTGTATATTTACTCACAGTCTTTGTCCAGTTTTCAAGCACCTCTTCAAGCCTGTGAAAGATCAGCTTATGTAGAAACAACAGCTCCTCCCACTATCTGTCAGCAGTAATGTGAAACTGAAAGTATTTCTGCAAGTACTAAAGCTCACATCATTTTTAAAGAAAGAGTGTGTGTGGGTTTTTTTTTCAATTGGTTATGATTTTTCAGCATAAACCAAATACTGGCTGTACTGAATGTCCAGAAAAAGTACGTCTGGAAAAGAAATTGGTAACACTTTACAATAAGGTTCATTAGTTAACTACATTAGTTAACATGAACTAAGAATGAACAATACTTCTTCGGCATTTATTTATCTTAGTTTCAACATATTCATTTCAACATTTACTAATACATTATTAAAATACAACAAATGTTGTATTTGTTAACAGTTAATCTGTGAACTAACATGAACATATCACCCTAACAATGAACAGCTGTATTTTTAATAACTAACATTAACAAATATTGTAGATACTGTAACAAATGTATTTCTCATTGTTAGTACATGTTAGTTAATTACCTGATGTTAACTGATGAACCTTATTGTAAAGTGTTACCAAAAAATGTATCTAAAAGTAAGTGTCAATTACCCAGCATTTGCTGTCAGACACGTTAAACCGCTCAAAGAAGAATGTCATTCTTGTTAAGAAATAATGCTATAATTGTGCATTATACACACTACATAACTTTTGTGTATTAGTGGATTCTTATGAGCTAAAAAAAATGATTTGTGTGGTGTGAATTTCTTGCATCTTTGCATGGGCTTGAGCTGTATGTTGGATTATTATACATTGATACATGACTCATCAACTTCAAACGCAAATTATCCGGTTAGACATCATTATCAGCCTATATGAGTGGAATTTTACACAATATTGTTTCTATTCAGATTTGCTGAAATTTATCCCCTGAGGTGCTGAAGGTATTTTGACATATTTCTGTGCAAGTATTTATTTTTGTTAAAGTTTCTAGATTTATGGAGAGCAGCACTGCAACGTGCAAATTGCACAAACTGAAAATTCGATCAGTTTGACTAAATTAAGTTGAAAAAGCTAAAACTGGATCAGATGTCCACTCCTTTTTTAAAGGCTGTAGTGAGACCAAATAGGTTTTAGGCATTTTAACGACGGCACGTGCACATCTTTTGTCATAAATGATGTTGGCATATAATATATTGTACTAACCATAATCATAATAAAATTAGTTAATATAATTATATTTTATGGAAAATTATGTAAAAACGAATTATTTTAAAAGTTTCATTCAATTAAAAAATATATAAAATTAAGACAAAAAAATAAGATGAAGATCACAGTGAGAACATAACAGACTTGTATTTTAATATACATGAGGTGCAAATCAGGCAAGACAATGACAGAACTCAATATTTTAAATTCATGTAACGTTATTAATTCTGTCTATTTTCTTCTGGGTTTGAAACCATTAGAAACGCCAAATACCTAACCTGCAATAGAAAAGAGTTTGCTGCATCAATGAACAATTATAGGCTCACATAGTGTTAACTATTGTTTTGTTGCGTGTATAGATGTATGATTCTGTTGGCTATTTCTGGAGTCCTGTGTGCATTTGTTGATCTATCATGCATTGGGAGGTTATGATACTGTAGGCTACTGTTTATACTCAATACATGTCTCTATCAACTCTAAAGTGTACAGTAACTGAGTAAAAATAGATGTCAGAGAGATATTAAGTCCTTCCGTGTGAAATGTGTTTTGCTTGGAAATCACATCACATCATGAGACAGTGTTTGCATTAAATCATTTCAAGTATGTGTGTGCAGCTTTACCCATTGTTTCTTATCTGTTAATGCCACCCACAGTTACAAAGTCATCTGATTCTTTTGAATAAACATGCATTACATTTTTAAGGTGCATGTCTTATTGTGTTTCATTTTTAACGCAACTGGTTATCAGGGCATCTTGTTAAACTTCAAGCACTAGTTACAGGAAAAGTGTAAAAAAATGTGTTTCTCTTTTGCTTTTCTTTTCGAGATGTCTTAAGATTCAACAAGCTGCTCATGTAATTTTTACTTTCATTATCCACTCTCACAAGCTTAAAATCAGTGTTAGTAAATGTTGTAATGAGCATTAGTGGTTCTGTAAAATGTGTCATCTTTAAGACACTAACTGTAAATATTTTCCATTAACGAGTTCGTTTGCCCATAAAATCTTTAAGATATTAGGTTAAACTTATTTGGCTTGCTGTCCGCTGGAGAGGGGCTCGATGAAGCAGCTTCAACTCGAGCTCTGATATACCCCCCAGTGGCTAAATGTAGGACCTGTTAATTAAAGGGCAAGGTACCTAAGATGAAGGTGGAGTTTGGGGAGGTGGAGGGATACTGGAACAGCTGATACTAGGGAGAGGTAAGCGGCTGCTTATATACTCTGTTTGTTGATTGAAAGATTGGATGGGCTCGCTCCTCCCTAATTTACGTTTAGGAACTTCATTTAAAGACTCCATGTATCAGGATTCTGGTGTGTTCTAGTCAAAACTCGCAAAGTCCCACAAAAGTCCCACAAAATCACAGGAGAATACAAACTGCATGAACACACTCTTCATAAAGATGATACAGGACAAATAATTAAACAAATATATTAAGGAGTCCAAAGACGAAGATTAGTCAAAAGATCCAATCCAAAGGTATTTAATAAAAGAACAAACCCAGATAATTCATTGTTTATTGTATATAAGTTCAGCATCTTCAATAAAATGTGTGATAGAAAAAGTACAAAAAACACGTTGGGTTTTTGATATTTCACTGGTTTGTACTTTACATCAATGGCAAACAAATATTGCTGAATGAACGTAAACAAGATCATAACAATGACAAACACCTAAAATAAAAATCTGATAGTCACCAGCCTGTGATTTCTTTAAAAAACAAAAACACATCTCCCATGTAAAATAAAAGTATGTTCAAGTATGTTTTTGTGTATTCCTGTGGGCGGAGATTAGTCAAAAAACTGTTCTAGTTACGTCATTAAAAAAGGGAAGTAGAGGGATGTAGTCCAAACCAGCCGTTCGCTGTATGCTTTGAAAGGGGACTTTTGTTAAATAAAATATCTCGCTAGGCATTGAACTTTGAGCTTTATAATTTTACAGGTATTATTTATGCTCTAACAGCAACATTACACACTAATTAGAGTTTGAAAAATGGAATCGCGAAGAACAGGACCTTTAAGAATCTTTGGTTATTTGCACTTTCTCATATTTAATGATTTTCCCTCCCCTCGTGACGATCTCTTTATATTCTAGAGCTCCTTTCTCTTCAATGTAGCGTTCCTGAGTCACTTTTCCAGTTTCTGGGAGAGGGCAAGGAAATGACATCAGGGACAGCTGATGGTTTAAGGCCTGACCTTTACCTGGAACTAATGCCTTTCCCATCTCTCTCTGTGGAGGTGGATCCCGTCGATAATATAACAAAGGAGATTTTCTTTCATCCATCTTAGGAACAGGAGCTGCTGCTGGATACCACTTTTGATTTGCCCTCATTTCATTTACATGTGTAACTGTAATGTCTTTTGGGATCTCTCTTGGGATCTCTCTTTGGATGTCTCTGTGGATGTCTCTTGGGATCTCTCTTGGGATCTCTCTTTGGATCTCTCTTGTGATGTCTCTTGTGATGTCTCTTTGTCTGATGTCTGCCTGTTGAACTGAACCAGCTCTCCTGATGTCTGCGATGACTCCAGCCATAGAAGCTCTGTTAGCGGGATTGACTTCCACCATCTTGGACACTGCACTACAGTATGGCTGGTCTTTGAGAGTTTCACGAATTTTGATGGCAGACACAGATTGGGTGGGTAACCTGACCCTGGCACAGAGTTCAGCTATGAGTTTACCCATGGCCCAAACATCCGATCGCTTGTCCCGAACTCCACCCATCTGCAGGACCTCTGGAGGTGAGTACGCTTCATTGCCCAAGTTAACAGCAGAGCTGAGTCCGTTTCTAGAGAATTTAGCCAGTCCCAAATCAATGATCACGGCCCGATGGGTTTGATACTCCACCTGAAATGGGATGGGAGAAGTTTGTTTCTTTGCTTATGTTCTAGGAAAGAAACCAATCAATTTAGACCAATTCAATTATTCTGTCTACCCCACAATCATGGTTTTCAAGTCTCACGCATTGGCCTTGAGACACACGCAATTCAACCAGTTCACACGCTCACACCATGTATTTCTCACGCTGAAAAGGCAATGCCAACCAAGTTGTCCTGCAAGCTTTATATATAACATTGTATACGAGGCGCAGGCACACAAAGTGAAGTTTCCTGCCGCCAGCACGTATCTCGGCCAGATTGCGTTCGTTACTAGGTAGGCAATATAGATGCGCGAACACACGGAAGTTGACGGAACATTCTCGGCCACCGTACTTTCGTTACTACACTCTAAAAAAAAATGGTTCTTCAGCGGTTCTTCAGGGGTTCTTTGCGGTGGTCATGGTGCTATATAGCACCACTACCATTTAAAGAACCTGTTAAGCCCAATTTGGTTATTCAGCGGTTCTATGGGGTGGTTAAGGTGCTCTATGGCACCTCTCAAGGTTCTACATAGCACCATTTGACAAAGATAAGTGCTATATGGCACTTAAAGTGGTTCCCCTATGATTACAAGCCAATGAACCACTTTTAGTGCTATTTAGCACCATTTTTGTTTAGAGTGTAGGTAACCAACAACATCGCGCGTGATGGAGAATGGTAAGTTGGAAGAAAGCTTGTCTAACATTTTTTAGGCTAGAACATTTAATATATAGCCCATAATATACATTATTATTGACGCAGTCAAAAACTCTACAACTACTTTGCAACCTGGCCAGAAGCTTTTGGCTTTTTTGATAAAACTTGAGAACCCTGAACAATGTTTGGGAGATTAAATGCAGAGACTTTCAATGGCAATATGAACTGAAAGATTTGTCACTGAATTCTCCAATGGAGCTTTTGGAGTAACATCCAAGACAAAGTGGATACTCTTATAAAAAAAAGATTCCTAAAAGTCGTTTTTACATTGATGCAATAGAAGAACTTTATTCTTCTTAAAGTGTAAAGAATATTTTATTAATCTAAAAATCTTTTTCCACTATAAATAAACTTTTGTGCAATCGAAAGTTTCCATGGACGTTGAAGGATCTTCATGGAACCAAAGATGTCAGATGACAGAACCTTTATTTTTACTTAAATGAAACCTAGTTGAGAACCACACTGTTTTTTGGTGTGTGTGTTTTTTTTTTAAGTAACCTCTGAGCAATAACAAATATAAACTCATTTTCTTGGCCCACTGATGAACATTTGTGTCTGGCTCACCATGATGTTGTCAGGTTTGAGGTCTTGGTGGACGATGTCTTTACTGTGCAGATAAAGCAAACCCTCACTCATACCAGTGATGATTGTGGCTCTCACTGCTGGCGTCAGCTGAAGAAGACACACAAAGGCTCTCCATTAATACATAACTCTCCACTAATACATAAACTAAACCCAAGTCATTTTATTAAGATGCAAGTTTAGTCATCAGTCCTCATGTCACTCATTTCATCCTCATGAAATAATGTGCAAAGACCGTAGTACAAATCCATATATATATATAAGGATGAGTAAAAGGATGACAAGAATATTCCGAGCTGTGTCACACATCTTTACCTGTATTTTAGAAAGCTGAACTTTGAAGATGGTCGTCTCAAGATCTTCCCCAGAGATGAACTCCAAAGGAATGTTCCACTTGGAGTCTTTCAGCCAAGGATCACCGAGAAGCTTCACCACGTTTGTATGCCGAGCATTACTGTTAAAAAAGTGTGTTATTATATTTTTAAGCTCAGTATTTAAAAATGAAGATATATAAAATATATATTAACATACTGATAGACTTTGCATTCTCTCTCCAGCTGTTGTCTGCTGATGAGGCTAAGAGGAACTCTCTTCAAAGCAGCCCATGCGTCTCCAAACTTCTCCTTGTATATTTTCCCATAGCAGCCTCCAGCGAGTGTTTGTGTGGAGTACGCCATCTGGTGATGCTGTTAATACAGCAATATGAAAAACTATAAACCCTCCAAGCTCAAATGTTTTCAGTGTCTTCTTATATATAAAATATTTCACATGAGCTCTGTTTATCTACAAAAAAAATATTTAAAAAACAGCGATGCCATAAAATAACCATTTTGGGTTCCCCAAAGAACCTTTCAGTAAACAGTAAAAAAAAAAAAAAAAAAAAAAGAATTTCTGAGTGTTAGATGTAAAGAACTTTTCGCTGTAAGGAACCATTGATGCCAAAAAAAAAAATCTATCTATCTATCTATCTATCTATCTATCTATCTATCTATCTATCTATCTGTCTGTCTGTCTGTCTGTCTGTCTGTCTGTCTGTCTGTCTGTCTGTCTGTCTGTCTATCTATCTATCTATCTATCTATCATTTTTGTGACATTGTTTGTTTTTATATGCATGTGAAATGTATTGAAAACAGGACTGTCTTGAAATAGACATTACCAGCAGCAGCACATAAAATGTAATATGGGTTATCTGGTATGTTTACAGGAAATTAGTCAACTAATAAAATCACCTGGATAAGTCTCCATTGTAAAGCCATAAAGTTATACATTCTTCAGACTACCTGATATTTTAATTATCAAGAAAGATGAATGCAAACCTTTACTGAAAAACTTTTACAGCTAAAAGACTCATTAGCACACATCCATTACCACAGGGAGTTTCGCTGGAATGCCTTTGGGCAAAACCTGCTTGTAATGAGCCTGTACATGCAACTGGAAAAATGCTGTCAAACTGGATCAGGATTGCAACAGAAATCATTCAAACACAGGATAAAATCAAGTAATCTTTTCTTTTATGGCCGAATATTTGGTGGCCTTACCTCCTACCCCCTCCCCCCACCCCTGAAAACAAAATAGTTTCAGCATGTTTCCACCCACACCCTCAGTGTTACGTTTATCTAATGATCACAAATACATTACAGTAATTACACGGGCAAAAGATGTGGTACCTTGATAACTATAAACCAGAAGAAACTGTAACATCAACCATGTCATCAATTGTAATAAATATCATTGTAATAAAACCTGCAGCTGTCATCCCTTCATTATAACACAACACAACAAGAGTTTGATTCACAGGTCATTGCATTTTCTTACCTGTGTCAGCAGGTTATGCTGATGGCGCTGAATGTCCTCAAATAAAACAGAAACAGTTCTTGCTAATTACCTTCCTTCTATAACCACACCCACATATTTCAACACGGGGAAGGACACCTGAAGGCGACATAACCAGTCAGATAAGGGGGAAAACAGTGTTGCTGGTTAACAGACAATGAAAAGCTGAGACTGTGTTCTGTGAGTATATGGGTCTATTGTATGTTTATTTTCTTTTTCTATTTTCACAATGTGTCCAGAGGAGATGTGTCATTTACCATTAAACAGATTATAATAGGTTTTCATGGTTGAACTAAACATGACATCCTCTTAAAAGAGAAACACCATGCAAGTCAAGTCAGAACAAGACAGTGTTAAGCAAGAACAGACAGTCCTCAAAGATCCTCTTGAATCTGTTTTGTTCCTGGTACATTAGGACTAATATGGAAGTAAAATAATGGCAAATGTTTTTGAAAGAAAAAAACATTTTGAAAAAAAAAATCAGTTTTTTGTTTCAAATACATTTGGCATTATTTTACTTTCATAGACTAAGAACATCAGAGGGGAATCATGACTGACTAATTTATACCAGCTATTTTGCATAGATGGACATATAAATAGGTTTATTGGGAATTGTGTATGTCTCTCTGGGTATTATTATATTATCATATATATTATCATTCCTTCTATGCTCTACGTTTTCATGTTGATATCATAATACTGAGCAGCCTATATTGGATAAAAATTTAAACATATTTTACATTAAAACTCCATATTCCAGGTGTTTCTTCTGGTTTTCCTCTTAATCCTTTTCCTTCCTGTTTCAAACAAAACATATTTTCCTGGGTGTATTATTATAATTGGTCATCATTGTATACAGTGGGGAAAACCCACGGTGCCCTAATAGCCCTTTCCATCCTGTTAGTCTTTTGTAAAATCCATCTAAATAAAGACAGTTCCTTAATGACATCATCCTACAGGAAATGATGATTTGGAAAGGAAAACAACAACACCACTCTACAGTGTTACGAGTTGAACAGTGTGCTGTGTTGTAGTTTCTCAGTGCAGGTGTAGTAGGATTCAGGAAGGGAGTTAGGAGCCAAGGTTTTAGAGGATAGCCAGAGTCCCCCAACAGGACCCTATCGATAATGCCTTGCTCAAATGCAAGGAAAAGTTGAGAATTTTGACGAGTTGAGAGTCATGAATTGATCCAGGCCAGCGGGCCACACAGTTGAGGAACCGGAGATCAGAATCACAAACAGCCTGAATGTTTAGGCTGTGATATCCTTTTCTATTCACCAACAAATGTTCATGAGCTGTTGGAGCCTGGCTTCTGACATGTGTCCCATCAATTGCTCCAACAACATTGGGAAACCTTGCTATGCTGAAGAACCTTCTTTTGACTTTGTTCAGCTCAGCCAGTTGGTTATGAAACTGAGGGAGCTTATTTGAAAGTGCCCTTGATACCCTGTATACCCGTGACACAGAAGCTTTGCTGAGACCCACTGTGTCACCAACAGCATTCAGAAAAGTTCCTGTTGCATAAAATCTCAACGCAGTGCAAACCTGTAGCACTGCTGGGATGCTGTGGCTTCTTGAAGTGGCAGGGCTCAGTACTTCAGCTAATTCATCTGTCAGACTCAAGCTTCCTTGGGCAAACGAAACCGACCGACGAAGTCCTCATTATTATACATTTTAAGGAGGTTACTGCGGTCCCTAAAAACCCTTTCCCTTCTCATAGCTCTCTCCATAACGTCGTCAGCAAACCACAAATTATGAGCCATTTTCTCTTTTCTTTTGGCTTTTTGTAATGTAAATGATTGTAACTGCTGGTTGCCAAAGTAACATAGAGTCTTAGACCTAAGTTAGCATGGGGGTAAGGTGTCTAATTTTTTCGGTCTAAATTAAGTCAGTCTTTATTTTTGTGAAACAGTCTAACTTGCATTAGACTAGTCTATGAGCAAATTTTAGACTTGCCTAACACTATAGACCGGTCTAAAATAGCTTTGTGAAACCGGCCCCTGGATCCTAGAACTGCGGTCCTGAAACCGCAGCCGCCGCTATATCATCCAGTTCGGTAGGTGGCGCTGTCACACAAAAAAAACTAGGGTCCTGGAACTGGGGTCCTGAAACTGCAGCCTCCGGTTGTGCAGGAACATACTACTGGAAGAGTGAGCAAGAGGGAGATTTGAAGAAAGACTGTTGAAAGATAGATGGCTGAGAGACATTAAAAAAGAGAAAAGGTCAGAGGAATATCACTGGAAAAACAAGGGTTATGATCAGGCAAGAGCTTTAGGACCTGCATTGATACTAGATGTAACTACTCGCTGGTTATTAAACAGTCCACGCTTCCGAAGTACTGATGTCCATTTTTTATTTCTTGATCTGAGACACCATGAAAAGTAGACACAAAAAGAAAAAAAAGAAAAATTTTACAACACCACTAAAGACACACAAAAAAAACACCAGTAGAATGGTCAGGAGCACTAACATGTGTATCTGAATTTACGTCTCACCATTCAGTTGACGCTAACACATCCAGGTGAAATAAATCAGCAAGAGTCACATGACACTCAGCTTAGATAGACTGAGTAATAATGAAATGCAATCCCAACAAACTTATGAAATTGGCACACCCACAGAAATATAAAGTCAAAAAATAAATATTAACCCCTGAAATCACCAGTATGTCATAATCACAGCTAACACTACCAGCGTCAGCTACACTACCAACTAGGGGTGGAACGGTACATGTATTCGTATTGAACCGAAACGGTACGGGCGTCACGGTTCGGTGCACGAATTTGCACGCAGAATACACGGTACAAATAAAAAAAACCTCTTAAATAGCGATGAATTTCGCTCTATTCGCTTTTGGTGTGACTGTGAACGCAGCAATGAACAGGCTGCGATCAAGATTGCAATGCAGGAGTGTGTGTGTGTCTGTGTGCGCGCGAGAGAGAGAGAGAGAGAGAGAGAGAGAGAGAGAGAGAGAGAGAGAGAGAGAGGCGCGATGAACAGTGTGTGTGTGTGCGAGAGAGAGAGAGGCGCGATCGAACAGTGTGTGTGTGTGTGTGTGTGCGCGCGCGCGTGCGAGAGAGAGGCGCGGTGTGTGTGTGTGTGTTCGCGCGCGCGAGAGAGAGAGGCGCGGGCGCGAATCGCGCGATGAACAGTGTGTGTGTGCGCGCGCGTGCGAGAGAGAGAGAGAGGCGCGGGCGCGAATCGCGCGATGAACAGTGTGTGTGTGTGTGTGTGTGTGTGTGTGTGTGTGTGTGTGTGTGTGTGTGTGTGTGTGTGTGTGTGTGTGTGTGCGTGTGTGTGAGAGAGGCACGGGCGATCGAACAGTGGAAACGTAAAAACATACTCCGTCATTTTTTTCATACAGGACATCATTAAAACTGCAAATTGTTTACTTATATTTGTGTACACTCGCAATAAAACACAACATTGTGCTTTTGTCACACTCTAAACTCTTGTCAAACTGTAACCTACACCTGTTAACAAAAGTTTTTATGGTAGTATTATTTTACACGGAAATCAATTATTTATAATTCAGATGAGAATAAAGTTAGTTAATTAAAATGAAGGAAAACAAATATCTTGATCTGAAATAGCAAATTAATTTTAAATTCATTCAGGTACAATTACCAAACATATCTCAAGGTCTTTTCGTCTTTTTAATAATTTAATTAATAAACTAATTATATAAAACTACTGTCAGTGCACTACAAATAAACTGGTTCTATGCCTTTATTAATAAAACTTATTTAAAAAAAATACAAGGCTTAAGACATTTATAAAAATGCCTTCTGCATTTTTGCTTTGCTTTTCACTCCCTTGTACCGAAATCGTACCGAACCGTGACGTCTGAACCGAGGTATGAACCGAACCGTGACTTCTGTGTACCGTTCCACCCCTACTACCAACGTCAGCTACACAACTGTACCAGCGTCAGCTACACTATAAAGCTTTAGACCTAAGAGGGAAGGCCAGAAAACGGACCCCGAGGTTGCCTTGTTTCCATTCGTGAGTAACATTGGATTTGAGTGTCATTGTTTGTCCAGAGCTGGGGTCTGTACCATGATGGCAGGGTTACAGGATTAGTTTCGAGTTGACAAAACCAAACCAATCCAACCAGGCTTTGTTGGTACCATGGTGCTGATCATCAAAAGCCCTCTTTTTGGCATTCCCAAGTTGTTGTAAGCCCTCTTACAACCAGCCTATGTGTGTGTCAGCTGCCAAATATGAAAACAAGTAATCGGCTCCAATAACCTATCTCTAAGATGGTATTTAGGTGTGGTCGGTATTTAATGACCTTAGTCATAAAGGCTTCCACCATACTGTCTGTAAGGGGATTTAAAGTTTAAAGACCCAGGACCAGATATGATGAAAGAAGACCAGGAGTCGTGAGGTTCAATCAAATAGGTAAATATTTACTGAAGAATAGTTTGCAGTTTAATCAGCAGAAGTCAGCTTCAAGACTCACAGGAGTCTGTCGGCCGCCCCGCTTACAGTGACAAAGATCACAGCAGTTATACCATTTCCCAGGTCTAAGCTATACGTCATTGCTTACAGGTTAATGATTCACATTGGCTAAGAAAAGATAAACAGTAATTTCCCACACACATACAGATAGACGGATACATTATGCAGCTGACACTCGGACCCTGAAGTTAGGCACGTCATGACCTTCCAGGTCGCAGATTTGGGTTTCTGGGCGCCAGCATGTCCAGAACAACAACTCAGTCAATCTCCAATAATGACAGTGGTTCCTTAACCTGTACCCAAAAAGACTAACACACACACACACCGACACACAGCTTTACCATGGTTGGATTTGGCCAGGCTCTAACTATAAACAGGACAGGAGAGTCCTCTCAAAACATCAAGATAATGCGTTCTTTCTCTCAAGGAGAGCTACACTTTAGTCTAACTGGAAAGTAAGGCTTTAACAAAGAAATGGTGCCTTAAACTATTGGCTTCAATGACCCCTATATGTTTAAACACGTTGAAGACCTTTCTCAAACACAAAA